CCCGCCCCCGCCCCCTGCCCGAGAGGCAATGGGCCGAGCACGGCAACCCTTTCCCCGAGCCAGCACCTGCAGGGAGGGTGCAGTGCAAGCGCCCCCGGGGGCAGCAAGGGAAAGGCAGCCCCTTCCCGCAGGCTCAACGGCCGGGGGCAACCTCGCCCCACCTGCAAGCGGAGGGGAGGCAGCCCCGGCTCGCTAGGCGCAGCTCCGACTTGCCGCGGGGAGGGACGCAGGCACAACCGCAATCCAATCCCGCAGGGCTGCAGCAGATTGCCTGGCCCAGCGCCAGAGGCGAGAAGGTGAGAGCTGGGGACAGAAATTCCTCCGCCTTCCCCAAGCCCGGGGACAGAGACCCCCCCCCACCCCCCAAAAAAACCCTCTAGCACGCGCTCTGGGGAGCTAAACCCCGCCTATCCCCGCGGAAGCCCCGGCTAGGGCGAGCTCACCCATCCCAAGAGCACTTTGGGGAAGAGATAAAAAAGCCTATCTTGAGGTCTCCCGAGGGGGTGCCTGTATGTAAACAGCGGCTTAACCCAGCTTGAAAGTTAGAGCCGATCCAGTTTAACAAACCCTTTAGCGCCTGCATCAAGTCCGGGTTGGTTTGCTTTTCCTTAGTTACAACCCGGGCGTCCATGTTATCATCTGTTTCCATCTCTCCCTTTATCTGTATGCCCCCCCCGCAACGCCTCCCCTCCTTTCTTCAGGCTCCGGAGACACATGCCGAACCCTTTGGTAGCTAGCACCAAACAAACAACAATCCGGCTGCAAAACACTAGCGACCCTTCGGATTCGGATTTTTTTGCCTCGAAATAGTTGTTTTAAATCAAATGGTCTAAAACAGGCTAAAAAAAATGTGCGCTCCGATTTTATTAGGGCCAGTCATCTCCCCCAGCACTTACCGGGCACCACAGAAAAGGAAACCGCCCTTGTTCTTGCTCGCACACCCCAAAGCAATCACAGCGAGACCTATATGAAGTGAAGGCTCACCCCCACAGCCTCACCAGTTTTATATACAGCAGGAGCTGGCTTCCCATTGGCTGCTATGTGTATTCCATTCATTCCACTGGAAGATTGTAAAAGGGAGGAGTCAGGTTCCTTAGTCTATTATAACCTATTGTTACTTCCATTTTGCCAGGCCTCCTAGTCGCAGGGAGATGCTGTCTGCCTCTATTTTCTGTGTTAGACTGAGCTTACAACTTTCCTATCTTAAAATGTGAAGGATTTTTTGCTCTGGTAAAATGCAAATATTGCATTAATGTACAACCACTTTCCACTATTACTTTGTTTCCCGGCACCATTAGACACACACAGTGCTTTTGCCATTCAGACTTGTTGTGTATAGTAAATATTTAACAATGACTATAATAATTTGATGTAATTAAAATAAGATCTTTGTTATGTTAGGACCAGCCTGACCTAAGAGTCATGTGAGTGATTCATTGTTAGAGGTAGTATCAGAATAATGGCTGAAAATCTACTGTTTAGCTCAAGGTTTAACCTCCCAGCACTTTTGCTCAGCCTCCTTCAAATATTAAAATGGTGAGTTCATCTCACAGTTTAATTTGAAGGAAAGCATATTTGATTAATGAAGTACACCAAGACACTCATTTTATTGTGTGCAAAAAATAAAAAGGTGAGGGGAAGCTGCATTGGTGAGTGGCTGAAATAGTACAAAAGCATGATCTTAATTCCCTGTTGCAAACAGAAATTAAAAGACTAAATCTTGCTCACCTTACTTAGAAAAGTACTGCTATTGACTTTAATGGGATTACTTTGGCAAATACAACAAGCAGCATTTGGCCTAAAGTTAGATGCCGCTGAAACTTCCTTGATGTCTAAAGGAAAAAGAAAAGTTAATGATTTTACTTTCAACCTTACACTGAAGCTTACACTTTATATTTCTTTCTGAAACAATTATTCTAGTAGGCCTTGAATTTATCTGAATGGAATAAAGAACTATACATTTAAATAGGCTCTAGTAAGATATCTGTTATTTTAATGTAAGTTATGACTGTCACTGGGTATAAACCCAAGTTCCTCTCCCAATTACCAACCCCACCATCATTATCCAAATTCAGATAAAGGAAGAGTAAAAGTATTGAAAATTAAAAGTATTTAGGATAAGGAGTGAACATACAATATGACTATAAAATAAAAAATGCAGAACACTGCAAACAAAACCACAGACAATTTCTGAATTAATCAAGGTTTAGCTGATAGTCAGAGATGCTGAGCACACAGAACTCCTACTAAAGACATTGGGGACTACAAGTACTCAGGCAGGCAGGCACCTTGTCTCCAGGAACAAAGGACAAATCTTCTCAATATTCTTTCTATCTTTTAAACTATATGAAATCTTGTCCAAATTTTTGAATGTCCCCATCTATATGTACCCAACAGGTGTATTCACAGTTTGCACAAAATTCTACTGCACAATTCTGATCTCAATTATATAGCATAAATCGGCAGTTATGACCGTGAGTTACACTATTGTAAAATGAATGTAAATGAAAAATCAGATCCCTAGTCTTTGAAATAATAAATTTGGCCATTATGGAGGCGCTGAGTAACAGTTTCTGTAATTTTGTCAAAGTTATATCCAATGTCATGTACAATTCAGAGTCTGAATCATTTGGTGCAAAGCACCTAAAATATGTTTGGTACTCTATTAATAATAATAATGATAAATAATAATCCACCAGTAATTTAATATTGTATTTATGTGGTCTCTGATTTCTTACCAGAATTTTTATGCACTCCTCTCCTCAGATAACAATTCCAGCTGAGATAATTCTCTCTAATTCCAGCCTTACACATCCTACTAGGCATTCAGTGTGCTACAAAGGTCATTTTTAGGTTATTCACGGATATGATCACATGATCTTCATTGCATCATTGTTAACCCTATTTTTAATTTTCAAGCAAGGATTTTATAACTCTTTCAGGCAATTTCCTATTTCCTATCTTAATGCACTGTCTTCACACCAACAATGGAAAAATATCAACATATACAGTTCCCACCTATATATGTTGATGTTTTTCCATTAAATGGACATTTAGGCAAGAAACCATCCTTTATTATACACATTTTAGATAAGTAAATTGTGGCATAAAGAGGTTAACTTCTCCAACATCATACAGCAACTCAGTGTAGAGCCAGAAGCCCTATTACCAAGACCCCTACTCTAATCATTAGACATGCTCTACTTCCAATAGTCCAGAAACAGGAATATTTATTATTTATTATTATATTTTCCATCAGAGCCCTTAATCTGTTAGACATCAATAACATACACCAAGAAAGACAATTCCTGCCCTACAAAGTTTTCATCTGCAGAAAACAAGCAACCCATCCTTAAAGCAATGTTGTGCTGTTGACAAAGCACAGTGTGCCAACAGATAGTGACTGACCATTATATCTAGTTCATCTGGTGAGAAACAATATTTCTTTTCAGGTAAGCCCTTATTTGCTTGCCCAGCTGCAATAATGGCAGTATTATATTGCCTTATATCTTGGAATAATGTATTGGTGCTGGCTGACTTATGCAGTAGGTTGCAATGTTGCAGCCCAAAATGGAGATGAGGATTATGACCCTGGAGGTTTCTATTTTGAACTTTAGATGGTGGAGAATGTAAAGAAAGTTGGTCATGGGCCATGCATTTAACTTCCCAAGTGGATTAATTATAAATGTTATCTATATATGAGTGCAAAAGGTGATGTGTATTACTTAGTGAATGCATCTTCTGAAATGACCCAGGTGAACCTAAAGTGAGCCTAAAGAATTGCTGGATAAACATTTCATTGAGAATTCAGAAGAGCATCCAGAACAGAGGAGACAGCTATAGATGATGAACTACCACCCGCAACAATTCTACGTCCAATTTCTGAGTTGGCACCTGGGTTATAAATTGCCATAAAACAGTACTGTACTTTGAAGACAAGCCAGAATGTTTGTGGATCAATAGACTGGAAGGATTTGGCTATTGCTGCATTTGTTTAACTTCTCTTCTCACACAAATGGAGGATGAATTTATCTTAATCATTTAAATATACCTACCTGAATATCACACTTGGCTTGTTTATTGATCAGTGTTTGTCATCTTGGGCCCATTCATGCAAAGGGCTGAGCATCTCCTGAGAGCTGCTGAACAATAACATCATCCACTGAGAATAGCGATAGAGATGTAGCCGTGTTAGTCTGGTATATATGGTTGTGACTATTTTCTTCCATTATTTGATCTGAGGAAGTGGGTCTGGCCCACGAAAGCTCATCATCTAATAAACCATCTTGTTAGTCTTTAAAGTGCTACATAGTCCTGTATTTTGTTTCATCTTCCACTGAGTCTGACATTAAAGGTAGTTAATAGCAGGCTGTCAGT